CAGTTACCTCAGGAGGGGGAACTACCCAGAATGGCATGATGGTGGAGGCCACACCTTGGTTGCCATGGTAATAGGGTCCTATAAGTGGTGGACAAATAAGACAAAAGACATAACACAGATCATTCAATAAAAGATGGGCTGTGTTGCGTAATAATCATCTGTGAAATCCATCACGCACCACAGATAATCCCCAGACAGGGCTGGAAGCCATTGCTGCTGCCTTGTAGTCGGAGCTGGTGATCCATCTGTGAATCAATGTTCTGCAGCGACGGAAGGGCGGGGCCTCGTGGGTGACTGTGATACCATCCCACCAATGACAGTCCCCGCATGAAGAGATTTTGGCAAATCTGCAACACATTTAATAAGGTAAACTGCTCAGACTATGGTACTTCACTATGTTCTTACAACTAACAAAATGTTTTTTGCAGACTAACCTCTTCTTCGACAACTGGGGCGGCGTCTTTATTTCCCAGCCGTGTACGGCAAGGGAACGCCCTCAAGACTAAGCACTGAGGAACATGAAATATACATTTTGAGTGTTTCTAACCTCCAATTTGCTGTTTGTTTGTACAGTAGTTACAAAAATGATCACTCTTACACTGTGTGTTAGTGTCCCATCGGCCCCCCAAATACCCCACCACCTCACTTGTGGTCAGGTGACAGTGAAAATCCTATGAATAGAGGTGGGTAAAAAGGTTTATATTGGCTTTAACTGTTGAATGTCTTTAATATCATCAGTATTGACTTTACTCTCTTATTGTAAAATCATAAATCCATGAGCACTTCATACCATTAGCAGCAGAACATTGCTGGACACTGCTACATTAAAAGGTTGGAAGCGGTTGATCACAGAAAAGGCAGACAGTTCTACGAGAGTGTGAGGATCCCTGTCAAGACAAACACAGAAACACTTAGGTACACTACCACTGGGGTCAGTAAGATTTTTTTTTGTTTTTGAAGAAAGTGTCTTATGCTTGCAAGGCGAAAACTAAATACTTTTGTATGTTTTTTTTCCCAGTATGCCTGAATAAAAGTATTAATTAAAAATGGTAGTGTATATCAGAGATCATAATTTCCATAATGCACTACAGTGCATTATTTCTGTTTCTATAAGTGTTTTTCTGCCTCAAACTCAGAGCCGAATAATTAAGCTTAAGGGCCTCAGGCAGGTAAAACAAGGTGCAGTAAATGTCGTATAAAACTCTGTAACTGCCATATAAAAAAAATAAACATTATATTTGTAATATAATAATTACCTTGCAGCATCTCTGGTGCCAAGAGTGCAATACCTGACTGGAATTCTCTCTCTGTCTCTCCTCTGCATCAGGCTAATGTCTGGAGAAAAAAA